CTGTGTCCCCTCTCACACAACGAGTCAATTATGACAGCAATATGCAGTCCACACCCGCACCCACCGAACAGCCCATAACCGGCTACTCGGATCCATTGCAGCTACAGTTACCTGAGGCCCAGATGGGTGCACATCGGGAGGCATTGAAGGATTGGCACCAAATGGTGACGCCTGAGGAGCGCGGGTATTGCGTGCGTCGGCTCTGCGACGTGATTATCACCGATGGCTTCAGCAGATTCCCGCGGCTCCGGGAATACGTGCAACAAATGGAGAGCCATACCTACGGGACGGTTAATTGTCGGGAGCAGTACTACCAGACCTTAGTCCGCAAGGCTAAGGATACACGGGATAGGTTTATACAGTCTCACCCAGAATACTATGAGAGCAAGAATCAAACCAAAGTTAATGATAACATGAATCAAAGCAAATAAATACAGATGTTTATTACTATTATGTTAAGTTTATTATAAGCCATGACAATTACCCTGAGCACTGGTCGATTATACGTTTCCGATGATTGTGAGCATAGTTAAATACCAATTAGGTGTAAAATTATACCAGTGCTTAGTATATGATACTTAATTATTTATTATATTATTTATGACATAACTATTCATATTGCTTTATATCCCGTTTGTCTCTTTTCTATTGGAGATATTTATTGTTACTTTTTGCTATCAATAAATTTATTTACTTATAATAAAAATAACTTACAAGTTAATTAAGACTCCTTTTGAACATTATTGAATGGGATAAATTATTGCATCATCGTGTTAATTCAATACTATTGAATAACATGCATACATGTTAGCGTATAGCACCGCATGGTTTGTATTGCCTGTACAGTATTACTGTATAATGATGACAGGTATGCATGCATTTCATCACACATTGCATCACATATATTGGGTATAAAGTGAGCAAAATAATATATTATATTCACATGTCATGTCTTTATAACTGGTTATATAACACTAGAATACAGTGATATACTATTAAAAGTTGGAATTCAACCCATTTCACTGAATATACAATTTTTAATTCATTGATTTAGTAGTAGTTGGAAGAGTTATTAGTGAAACACATTATACTTGAAAATGAATGAAACAATTGCCAAACAAATGAGTGAGACATGAATTGGTGGCAAATATTTGATAATAAAATTAGTGAACAATTTATTAATATTTCAGATGATATGTATATACACGAGAGGACAGGCAGTGACGAGTCGGGCGATGGGAGTGAAGGCAAACCGTTGAAGACATTACTGGAAGCCATGAGACGGTCGGCCGAAGAGCCGTTCCCTACGTTCTACACCATAGGCGATGACAACCAATGGGTTGTAGTGTCTGTGTCTCAGATCAAGAAAATCAAAAAAATTTGGATCCGAGAGAAGCGTAAGACTGAAGACAAGTACCAAAAGGACGGGGAGGACGAGGAGAGACGACTCAAGAACATCGAGGACTCCAAGAGAGTGGTCATCGAAAGGGACGACACGTTGCCGACGGCCATAGCCATCAAAGTCAGAGACTGTGTGTCCCACCGGAGCTCAAGAGTGACACTAAAGGGTTGGTGTCATCGCGTGAGACGACAGGGAAAGGCACTCATGTTTGTGACCCTTAGAGA